AACCTGCAGGGCCACACCAGGACTCCATATCTGACAGTGTTTCACTGCTATTCATTCGTTTTTCTGTGACTAAACATTCAGGAGTACTCCACCTCTCCTTCTCCCAAGTCTCAGTCTGTAAGCTCATCTGAAATCTGTCCACCTATATGGGTGATCCTGTCAACATTCAAAATACTGGTGCCATAGCTTCCAGCAACATGCAAGTCACTACAGTCCTGCAAACTGACAGAAGTTGTTGCGGAAACACTGTACTGGGTTGCTATGAGTTGGAAATGACTCAATGACAAGTTTTTTTTAAGACAGTTGCAGCCACTGATATTTTCGTAAGAAGCAGTACCCAATTATACTAAGACCTACTTTTGTTAAGTGTACCTCTTTGAATTTTTGCATTTTAAAGTTTTACCACTTGAAACTACAAAAGTTCAGGTTTGGCTTAACGCTTTTAAAAAATAGTCTTATCAATATTTCTAGAAAGCAGTATTATATTGAAAAATGGAGATTCCCATTTAGAAACAGATTTGTTCCATTATCACATAAACAAGGAATAAAGTCATTCTGAAAATTACTTTCAGTAAGGGTATTATTCCATGTGATATTTTGAAAACAGGAAATAGGTTTGGCTAAATGGCATCTTTTCTTTAATTCTCCAGCTTGCAAGCCCATCATAATACTAAACAATGAAAGGTCACTGCTGTTGTTACGTTCCTTTGAGTCGATTCTGACTCAAAGCAACCCTGTATAGAGTTTCCAAGGAGTGGCTGGTGAGTTTGAACCATTGACTCTGCAGTCAGTGCATTAACCCACAGCGCCACACCAGAATACATTAGGATGGTTTTATTTTTTCAAAAACCCAGGGATATAATTGACTTACCAATTTAGTGTTTTTTTAAAAATATGTGCAGATAATAGATATTCCTGTGCTTTTATATTCTGCAAGATCTGTAGTTATGAAAAAGGTCTTGATTCCTATTTTTAGAAGCAGATCAAGCTTTCATCTTTTTCCTCAGGAAATAGGTATTAATCTATTATTTGATAGGATTGAGGTAAACTTAGCACTAGCCTCTCGCTAGCAGTAAGGGCTCGTTGGCCCTCTTGTACCCCAAATAAGTGCTCTTTCTATAGTGAGTTTTCTTTGGTGCTTCAGAGGTGTCCCTGCTGCTGTCTGCCTCAGTCTTAGAAGGGTGATAGTTCACACATATAGAGAAAACAATTCTCTGCAATGCATCTGTCCTGCTCTTTCAACTTATTTGTAGTTGGCTTAAAAAAATTAAGTAGGTTTCCACTTCTGGAGACTTAGAATACTGATTTTTCTGTTAAAAAGATGAATTGACCCAGTCTAGCATGTTTGCCATACTACTTTGTGTGGCGCTGTGAGTTCATGTGCCAGACTGCAAAGCCGTTTGAACTGCAAGGTCAGCAGTTCAAGCTCACCAGCTGCTCCTTGGAAACCCTATACAGGGTTGCTATGGGTCGGAATTGACTCGACGGCACTTGACAAGAACATACCACCTCAAGAGTCCTGGTGTGGCCCTGTGGGCTAATGTGTCAGACTGCAAAGTTGTTTTAACTGCAAGGTCAGTGGTTCAAGCTCACCAGCTGTTCATTGGAAACCCTATACAGGGATGCTATTGGTCAGAATCAACTCGACGGCACTTAACAATACCACCTCAGGAGTCCTGGTGTGGCACTGTAGGATAAGCACTGGACTGCTAACCCACCGACACTCCTCAGAAACCCTATCCAGGGTTGTTGAGTTGGATCTGTCTTGAGGGCATTTAACAAAGATCACTAAAGCCCTGGTAGTGTAGTGTTTACGTGAACTGAATTGAAAGGTGGGCAGGTGAAACCCACCAGCCACTCTGTAGGAGAAAGATGCGGCCACCTGCTTCCATGACCACCACAGCCTTGGAAAGGCTCTGCCCTCCAGGGTCACTATGAGAGGGAGTCTACTTGATAGCATGCGCTTGGCTTATTGACTCTTGTTGCTGCTGCCTGCTGTCAAGTCAGTTCTGATTCACAAAGGCCCTGCATAGGATTTCTGAGGCTGTCCATCTTTGTGGGAGCAGAGCAGCTGGTGGGCTAAAACTACGGACCTTGTGGTTAGCAGACTAATGTGCCAGCCAGTGCACTAACTGAGCTCCTTTTTATACAATCTAGATTGGCTTCATTTTAAAAACGGGATGGTACAGACAAAGATGTAGCATCCAGAACCGACAAGTACAAGGTCTTTAAAGTTGAACAGCATTCCAATGATTTCTCTTTCAAGCTTAGTCTACCTACTGTCCACCACCCCACCTCACCAGCACTTATCATCTTAGGAAGAAAAAAAGATTCTCAGTGAAGAGTTGTTGGCAAGTCTAAACAATGTATTAAAAATAAGTAGGATGGAATAAGACTAATAAAATCAAGCAAAGGTGAATCTACTTTAACTAAGAGTCAGGCATGATTTTTATTCATGGAGAGAAAAAAAATGTCAAAAGTTAGAATCATGAAAATTATGCATAGGTTTTACACAAATCGTTAAGGAAATACTGTCAACATCATTTTATCTGGGAATCATTTGCATACTTGCTATAACTTGCGCTAGAAATCAAAGGAACACTTTTGTGACAAAAAGGATGAGGCTAATCATTCATGAGAAAATAGATGGGGAGTTCAACAGAATATCCTCCTAAGATTTCACGATGGTCAGCACCCCAAGCCCAGGCTGATCTGGTGAAAATGACATTTATCCCTCAGAACAGGAAGCAATGTTCTTTGAAAGAATGTCAAAAACTCAAAGATGAAAAAATGGCAGGTTCTACTCCCCCTCAAGAAACAAGGACACAGCTAAACTTGGAAAGAAAGGTCATTGCTAATAGCTGATAAACTAAAAAGGCAGATGACAGTCAAAAGAGAAAGGTTCCTGTTTTAGAATTCAATTCCATAAAAATGTCAAATCCTAGGTCTAGGAAGACATACTACTATTTTCAATGGTTTTCAGGACTGCCTTAGTAATCAGAATGAAAATGTAAGGCTAATACAAAACCAGTTCTATAATCCACCCTCAAGTCTAAATGCATGTTGAAATCCTTGTGCATTTTCTTTTCTTTTGGGGAGGCATCTGCCCATTATCACACACGACAAAGTAACTAAACTACTCTTCTGGTGGCAGGGGAACAGATTGAAGCAAAGTTTAAATCGTCAGTACAGCAAACTGAGAAATCTTAAGTCTAAGGGCAAGTCAGCATTCAAGCAATTGACAGATGAGAAAGATAAAGGGTCATCAAAAAAAAACAAAAAACAAAAAAAATCCAACCTTGAGATTGTATTTTCATTTGTTCAGCCTAAAGCCATTCAGTGATGCAAAAGGCCTAGACATGATAGTGCCCAAAACATACTTTCCTTCTCCTTCACTTATGAGTAAAATTCTACATAGTTCACTCATTCAGTTAATACGTTCATAGTCTTTCAAAATGCAAAAGTCTAAGAGTGCTGGGGCGTTAAGTTTGAGTTCAGATGGATTTTGGTGTAAAGGTGTTGAGAGTATAGTGGCAGATAAAGGGAAAAAAAGAGAAGACTGAACAAGTGGCTCCTTCCCAACTCCCTCTAGGGTTCCTTTCCCCAAAGGATATTAGATGTCAAAGTTCTAAGGGATTATTACCTCATTAAACAACCTGTCAAATGGAAATAAGAATTTTCTGATAAGGAAAGCTGCAAAATACTGAAATAGATTGAGTCTATTTCCTAGATATTTTTAAGTATGAATTTGTATCTGAATGATTTCCAACCCCTTTTATTAATCTCAGAATCTAAGTATATGTAACTTATGACCAGATAATATATTCTGGATTTGTTTAGCTCTTACTAAATTTAGCAATATGGCTGCAGGCAAGTACTGTAAGAGCTTCACCTTTTAAATGATACCATTTTCTACTTAAAAGTATTTTGTAAATGGAAAAGTGGTTTAAAGAACTGCCTATGAAAATACTATATAATGTTACATTAAATGCTTCTTTTACTTGACAGGGTTTGTCTTCAGTATTGGGTGAGTTTCAAATCTCCTAGATTAATGAGCAGCTCGCTCACTTTCATATATGCTTTTCTTCATCAAAGGTTACAATTTCATTTTGCTATACTTTAGAACTTCTAAAATGTTCTGCTAAAGTATAAAAAGATAAGTGTCATTTTCAAATATTATGAATGTAAAAATATTTCAATTTTATTGTAAGCTTATTTCTCGTTTAATCCAAATGTATCTTAACCATCTTTTCTACTGATTACCCCAAAAAACACTATAAGGCACCGCAGTGATCTATGAATAACGAGTAATCCAGGTCACAGAATGGCTTCCTCTAGGGAAACACAAGGCCTGTTGGATTGAGGGTGGATAATGAATAGTCTTATCCTGTGTAACTCCAGGAGAATGCAAAGTGATCGTACGTAAGGTAATCTTAAATGTGTTTCCTTTCCATTTCATTTAGCTTCTATATAAAATTGAGAGTTTAAGTATGAGAACAGCAGAGCAGAACAAAGAGATCCCCTTGTTGTTGGACACCTAATTTGTTGTGGACCTTCTATAAGCATGGCATCAAATTACTAAAACATAGACATTGCAAAGTATATAGTATACCCCACACTTACCGACTCCCTAACTAAAGATTTTCAATAGTGCCATCCACAAATTTAGTGAGAAAGAATAAGGGGTAGAAGAAAAGTCAGGAAACCAGTCATGGTCCAAGTCTGCTGGTTAAATAGCTTTGTTAAGTGTCTACCGCTGTGTCACAGGTATGTTTGCCTCGACGATCTAGACAAAAAAGGGGAGTATGTAGGTGTGGACAACAAAACAGAGTCTAAAGACAATGCAGATTACCTAACACATAGTAACAGTTACATTGAACAAATATGAACTTCCAAGTGGTGTATTTTTCCAGTGCTAAAAAGCAAGGCCTTTAAGAGTCCGTTCATTTTTTTGTTAAATGATTACTTTAAATGTGATTATTTCCTAAACCACACAAGAGTAAAATAGAGCATTTATTGATGGAATAACAAAAGTGCTTTTCTTAAATATTCTTCAAAATACATTTGTACAACTTACAATAATATATCCAAAATAACTGTATATACAAAACATTACCTACTTTTAATGTATGTGCTTTTTTTCCCCAAAAATTACAAAGTAACTCCTTTTTTTTGTTTTGTTTTCCATTTTTTGGCAAAGTTCAACCTTAACAGAAGTGACAATTTTAAAGGTTGGTTTAAGAAAATAGAACCTGAGGGAAATTGACACGCAAGAGTCAATGACAAGCAAGATATTTGGAGGACTATTTTTAGTTTGTTAAATTAAAATGTGGGTTTTTGTTTTGCTGTTTTTTTAAAGAGTGATACTGTTCACATTACAAAAATAAACCGAAATGAAGAGAAGGGCACTGTAAAATGATGGGAAAAGGATCTGTAGACTTGCTTTTTGTTTCCAATAGCCAACAATGCATGTCAAAAATGAATGCAAGATCACAACAGTCCTGTATTTACTTTCTGTTTGCAGAAGAGAGTGAACTAAGTGGTCACATTCTAGTTTCTTTTAATTGCTATTAATATGGTTGATCTGATTGGCTCTTCGATGAATTTCATCCAAAAAGTTCTCCAGTTGTTCTATTAGCATTCGTTTTTTAAACCTGCATGAAAAAATAAACAATACCACTTTCAAATGATTCGTAATAAATAATTATGAACTAGTATAATGTTTTTAAAAAGTGAAATTACTTTGGGAAGGTTCTTCAAACTGAGAAGGAAAAATCAGCACTCTATTACATATAAAATGTATTGAGATTAACAAGTTATTAAGTCAGTACAGTATTATAGTTTGTGTCTAACACAAATAATCTGAGGTATAATGGGAAAGAAGTTATTCCTTCCACAACCAAAAATACAGAGAGAAAGGAGGGAGGGGCCCAGAAATGGCTAGATCTAAGGATTGCCAATCCTTATATTTTGGGCTCACAAAGCAATTACTCCAATATTTCTTCTCTATATTCTTTGAAAGTTGAATTGTTGAAGGTAATATGAACAGAGTGGAAGCAGAAATGAGAGTTGGGCATAGCATTTAAAAACGATGTGGGGGGGTTCTACTGTTTCAGTTAGAAAGGTAGCAAATCAAGGATAACTAGATAGAACTAATATAACCTGCAAATGGCAATTTAAAAAAATTGTAATAAAAAATATAGGTAGCCTAATCTCAAATTAAAGTTGCATTTGTCTACCTACTAAGTATTCATTTTGCTGATATGTTTTTAAATATCTAAGAGTATTGTTATACCTATTTCCTCTGGTCTGCACCTTATATTAAACTATTACCCAACTCTTTTAAGGCAAAAGTAAATGAAGTACAGGTATAAGCCACAAGCACAGGAATATAGCTAAATCCAGAATGAGGTCTAATCTGATAGAATTTTATATATAGAACATAACAGATGAAACACTCAAAATTTTATGAGTACTTATGGCCTTATTTTGATCCTTAAATTGGTCATTTTCTAGGTACTCCAAAAGAGAAAAGCCTAAGAGAGATTGATAGGCTAGTTCACTGGGAGGATGGGAACTACGTTTACATTTAGAAGGTTAGATGAGATCAACACTAAGTTTCCTTATAATACTAACATTCTATGTCTTGGAAGAAAAATGAAAAATATTTTCTGTGCTTTCTGAACTCAGACAACCATGCTTTTCAATTGACAGCACTTCCTAGTTACCATCTATAGCCTTGATGCACATTATCCGTGTCTACTGAAAGCAATTAGAATAAGGTCAACTTATGCAACTCTGTTCCCTTTAATTATAGGGTTTTCCACATAAAAAAATGAACTACATTCAGATATCGCTTTTAGAGGACATTTCTAATCACTGAAAACTGTTAACTGTCATCCACATATTTTAAGGAGAGAAACTGTTGTTGTTATGTGCCGTGGAGTCGGTTCTGACTCATAGCAACCCTGTACAGGGTTCCGAGGCAGTAAATCTATACGGAAGCAGAAAGCCTCGTCTTTCTCCCGCGCAACAGCTGATAGTTTCGAACTGCTGACCTTGTGGTTTGCAGCCTGATTCGTAACCACTATGCTACCAGAGTTCCTTAAGGAGAGAAATTAAAGACTGTAAAATAAAGACACCAAAAAGTCATAGAGTAGGTAAATGAGAATTATGAAAGTATAATAATTTGCAAGGAGAAAGTACTGTTGAGTCCATAATCTTAGAATTTGTGTGTGCTTAGTTGGTTTGTGGTTTTTTGGGGGTTTTTTTGTGCTTAGTTTTTAAGTGAAGTTTTTATAAAATAACAATGAAAAGTACTTAAGTACAGGTGGGGTGTGAATCATACACAAGCATAGATAATTTGAGTGCAAAATAATCCTGTTATAATATAGATAATATAAACTGAGGACTTATTTCATAACGGAGAGTAGTTGATTTACCTTGATGCTTCCTTGATGACATTTTGTAAAAATATTAGTCTTGTCTGTAAACTGCCTTGCACATGCTTCAGTAAAGTGAAGATTCTTTCATATTCTTCAAACATGAGAAGCAAAAAGAATGAATTATGCCATTATCATTTGTATCCTTAACTCAATATTTTTCTACTGAAATTTACTGTATTAAGATTACTAAAACAAAGCCAAAAATATTTTACCTAAAAATTTCAGTTTCATTTACGATTTCATAATACATTTTAACATGTATGTATCAACACAGACAAGAAAAACTGTCAAAACACTGTTTGTTTTGTTTTTATTTTTTTAAAGTTTCCATTAAAGTATCGATCACATCGCTTATTCAAAAGGGTGAGTAAACAGCTTTTTGGTAGCTAATTCAAAAAAAGAGGCAAGTGGCCTTTACAAAAATCCATTCTGCTGTGGTGCTGCAAAGTCAGTTTGAAACATGGCTTAGCAGTTCAAGCTCGTCACCCACTCCTCAGAAACCCTATAAAGGGTTGCTATGGGTCAGAACTGACTTGACGGCACTTAACGACAACAATGTAAATTCAGCTTACAAGGGGTGTAAGTGTGGGTAAACAACAGGTTGAAAGTTCTATTTCACAGTTTGAAGTTTCCACATACAATTCTCCATAGACTCTTGAGTTCTACATAGTATGTCTTACCTACTTCTGGACCAACCACAAGTCACTGAATCATCATAGCAGGTGATATCAATGTCTAAATGAATGACAATAAGCTGATTTTTCTCCCTATAAAGTTGTTCCACATTCTAGTTTCCATAATTTTAGTTTTTTGCCCTTAATACATCCCTGGTCATAGTTTAAATTTTAAACACCATTGGTAGGCACTAAGTCAAGAGCTTTACAGAAATGAAATTTAATCTCCAACCACATTTTTAGGGAATTAGATGCTATGGTAAAATTCTAGTTGCTGATAAGTATATTCAAGACGAAGGGTTCCTGCCATGGGAGTAACTGTATGTAATCTATTTATGCAATGTTCTATAGCTAAGATGTTGCTCAAGACTGAGCTAGATTCAGATCTATTCTTCTAACTAATGTGAGTTTTTGGTTTATAGACTTATACATACTTCTTCCTGGTTTCCTGATCTCCTTCATTATCTGTACTTTTAGCTCAGTGTTGGCCTCTTCATGGCTTCTGCAGTACATCAATTTCTTCCCTTTGCTAAGTGAAGATGATGGTATATTCTCTTCAGCACATTGTTCTTTATCTCTTGGCTCCTCATGGTTTTCTAAAAATCCACCTCCAGTTAAGTCATTAGTTCCTAAATGATCATGACCCAGGGCTTCTGTATGATTGGTTGGTCGTTCCAATAAACTGGCTGGAGAAGACGATGTTGAAAATTCAGTATCCATAGCATTTGGTGTACTGTCGGATGGAAGTTGGTCTGCAATATGATTTTCAACCACATCATCTATTGCTGAATCATTACTTTCTGAAACTAAAAACAAAGAAAAAGGAAAAAGAAAAATGAGTACACAATAAAGAAAGCTACAAAGGAGCATCAGCTACAGCAAATCACACCAATTTCCTTGACTAACACAAATTAACAAATAAAGTGATATGGTTCTTAAGTTTTGCCAAAGATGATATGGTGAAATTTTGACAACATTTACAAAATCTGTACAATTTCTGCTCTTAGAAACAAAATTTAAAATAACGCAAATTACAACCAACTTATTCTGTGGCAATTTTATTGAACTAGGGGTGTTTTGTTGTTGCTGTTTTTAAATGCCTTAAAACCAGAGACTGTTAAGTTCATCCAACTCATGACAATACTATGCTCTCCCATCATAGTAAGGTTTTCAATGGCTAATTTGTTTTCAGAGGTAGATCAGTAAGTCTTTCATCTGAAGCACCTCTGCTGTTAAGTATTGTGAGTTGGTTCTGATTCATAGCAACTCAGTATAGGGTTATCGAGGAGCGACTGGTGGGTTTGAACTGCTAACCTTGTGGTTCAAACCGGCTTTGCTGTTCAGTGCATTATCCTGCAGTGCCATACCTCTAGGTGGACTCAATCTTCCACTAGTTAGCAGAAGAGTATGTTAACCATTTGCACGTCTTATTGAAATACATATGTGACACCAAAAGTATCATGGCCATCTTTCCCTTCGAGAACGCTAGCTCAATGCAACTTAACTGCCTTATACATCAATTACTATTTGTAAGCAAACACTGGAGGATCGGATAGCCAGTTAATATTTTTCCACATTCTGCAGGGAACACAACACCAAACATCTTATTTCACAGCACATCCTTTTCTTATAATCAACCATCTGTTGTTGTGTGCCGTTAAGTTGGTTCCAACTCACAGTGACCCAGTATAGGATTTCCATGAGCAGCTGGTGGAATTGTTGACCCTGTTGTTACTAGTCCAGTGATCAGCAACATACTAGAGCAACCAATTATTCCTCATTATTTGAGCAACACAGAGCAACATGGTGCCCACTTCAGCTCATTAGTTCACCAGAACCTGAATTTACAAGTTTGCCACTTAATGCCACTTGTTCCCCACAGAAAGCAGTGAATTCTACGTTTCTTGATTGCTCACCAACCTCCAGAACACTGGCAAAATTCATGTTTTCCTCATTCACGGTCCAAAATGTATACTCTGTTTACTCACATTTCCTATATACTCATCCTCATAAATCCTCTCCTAAATCCCATTTCATGATTTGTAAACTACTCTTTGTTGAATATTCTCCACAACAATCCATGCTTTACCTGAACTTTTGTTGTTGTTGTTTTTACGTGCCATGGAGTTGATTCCGACTCATAGCGACCCTGGTACAGGGTTTCCGAGGCTGTAAATCTTTACGGGAGCAGAACGCCTCATCTTTCTCCCATGGAACAGCTGGTAGTTTCGAACTGCTGACCTTGAGGTTCACAGCCCGATTCGTAACCACTACGCTACCAGAGCTCCTTACCTAAACTTTTAAGCTCTCCACTAAGGAAATGGCTTTTCCTTTCCAGAACACAAGTAGAAAATCCTTTCTCTCTAACACTCTCTATGAAGTTAAAATTCCATCCTGAAGTATGTGACTCCTCCACCTTCACTGCCATTTCATGACCATTGCTCCTATGCACTCTTGTACAAACTGCAGCTTTTCTGAGCTCTGCCACTCATACTCTCTCATCATTATCTTACATTGATCTCCAGGGTGCATCCCTTCAGTCACGGATGTATCTAGCATCTGGTTCACAGCTTTCCCCCACATTCCAAATCCCTCCCGACATCATTCTAGGTCTTTCACTATTCAAAGTGGGGGGGGGGGGGGATCTGTGTATAGGCAGCATTAGCACCATCAGAGAGCTTGCTAGAAATATTCATCTTGAGCTCTACCATAGCCTTAATGTATGTATTTTAGTAAGACTCCCCACCCCCACCCCCAGTGATTCATATGCACATAAAAGTTTGAGAAGAGGTAACTTCAAGGTCAATTACCTGGACTGGAAATTCCTTAATTCCTTATCTACAAAGAACTCTTTCATTTATATTTTTCTCATACGTTAAACACAAAATCAGACACCTTGGAGCATAAACCTGTATCTTTGCGGTACTTCTCTCTCTGCTCATTCCTAGTCATCACATGTTCCTTCTAGATGGCCACTTTCCTAGCCAGCTCTGTCACAAACCACTTCCTGCCACTGTCATACGTCCTCTTGCTCTGTTGTCCTCCCATGACATCTGTTGTGCAAACCCCCCAAATGATAAATCTGCATTTGCTTGCTCTACAACTGAATTTGGAATAATCAGCCTTTACTTGGATCCTAAGCACTGCCAACCAATTTATTTATCTCCCAGACAGAGTATTCAAATCTTATCCAATCTCTGACTTGGAAAATTGCTCCTTCTCAGGAGTTTGATGAGCAGTCAGGGAACTCAGAATTCAACTGTTTTCTGGGGGAGCAGATTTACTCTCAGCGACCTCTATGAAGTCACTTTCTACTTCAGAGAAAAGAAAAGCAAGCTGTTAGACAGAACTTCCTCAACTTCTCCCCACTTTAGAATTGCACCCATACTCGCTATATTTCAGTGAAAGCATTCCCTCTTGCCTTCTCAGTGACTGTGCTGACTATGGACTCTCTAATCTCCAGTTCCAATCTGTCCCTCTTTACTTGGCTCCCTCATACCACTACTCCAATATATTTATGTTCCTTTCATATTAAAACCCAAACCAAACCACAACTTCCAACCTTCTCCTGCTGCTACTCTCTGCCCCTACCTCTCCCTTTACAGCTACATGTTTTCAAATGGTTGTTTACTCTCATCATTGCCAGGTTCTCATCTGTAAGGACTCTCTTATAACCCTCTGTATTCCACCTGAATTGTTCTTGCTAGTGTAGCAGGACCAACAGATCTTTCTGATCCTCTTGATTGCTCTGTACAGCAAATATTTTAGATTACCAGCCACTCAAATTCTCTTTTGGCTCATATTACAGTAAATTCATCCCTATATTCTCATACCTGTCTGAATCTACTCTCTCCTCTTAAGGTAAGGTCTGTCCTAATCTCTTTTGTTTCTAAAACTTTAGTGAAATATTATTCACTTCAATGGGCTTTAAAGCTGCCTTCTACCTCTCTAGCCCAGTCTTTTTCTCCTAAGTCCCAAACTTAAATTTCCATCTTCATAGGATCTCCACCTCATGCAATGAATTATTTAATGTCTCTCCTAGTCTTTGTCAACTTTCATCAAATGACTTTTTCCTGATGCGTCTAGGTAAGAGAAAGTGGAGGAAGATGCTGATGATTTTATGATTCAGTTGTGATGACTGTTAACAGGGTTAATTGTGAAAACTTGATACTCTCAAGTGGTTGTAAAATGAGCTGTCTCTGAAGAAGGAGGGGAATCTCACTACCATCAAAGAGTAAGAGTCTTGAGTGGTGTGTGTTTTTCAGACCCCAAGATCTTTGTGCATTGAACCGCCTCAACCTAGGGACAGAAAGCTGGGATACTGGAGGAGTAGAAGAGGAGTGGCAGAGAAGTAACAGCAGCAAAACCAAGAGCCAGAGCAAGGAGACAAAGTGGTAGACTTCCAGGCCCCTAGAGCAAGTCAAGCTGAGTGCCATTGGGCACTTGTGGAGTGGGCGCTTCTAGGTTTTAGGCACTTAAGTGGGGAGCTATGTTTGCTGATCCATGGAGCTACAGCTGAGTGACTTCAGAGTAAGAGTAAAGTGTCCTTTGTACACTTACCAGTAGCCCTAAAAGAGTTTTGTAACATTCCCAGGGCAGAGGTCAGGCCGGCTTGTGGACCCTGCTGAGAAGAGGCTGTCCTGAACACAGAACTGTGCTTTGAGCATTTCTGATCCAGCACTGTAACCTGTTACACCTCCTAACTAAGAGTACAGTGTCTGAGTGTTCTGTGTGGCCACTGGAATGAATTATTGAGTCCACTTCAGTAGAGTACTATGGAAGGAATGGTTTGGTGCTGTTGTTGGTTTTTATGCTTCGAAACTCACTCATCATCTCTTCCCCAACTCCATACCTGAATCAATGTCTCTCAAGGCAGAAACTTCATCCCTCCATTTCCCTAAACCCAACATCTAATCGATCATTGAGGTGTTGTTGTTGTTAGGTGCCACTGAGTCAGCATTGATTCATAATGACCTTATGTACAATGGAACGAAACACTGCCCGGTCTTAAACCATCCTCACAATCATTGCAATGCTTGAGCCCACTGCTGCCATCAATCTGCCAATCCATCTCATTGGGGGTCTTTCTCTCTTTCACTGACCCTTCACTTTACCAAGCATGATGTCCTTCTCCAAGGACTAGTCCCTCTTGATAGTATGTCCGAAGTATGAGAGATGAAGTCTGGTCATCCTGGCTTCTAAAAGATCATTCTGACTGTGATCAGAACAAACAAACAAACACACATTTGTTTGTTCTTTTGGTACTTTTAATATTCTCATCCAACACCATATCTCAAATGCATCTAATTCTTCTATGGTCTTCCTTATTCACTGTCCAACTTTCACATGCATATGAGGTTACTGAAAATACCATGGATGGGTCAGGTGTGCCTTAGTCCTGAAACTGACATCTGTGCTCTTGAATACTTTAAAGTGGTCTTGTGCAACAGATTTGCCTAATTCAATGTCATTTGATTTCTTGACTGCTGCTTCCACGAGTGTTGATGGTTGATCAAAAGCAAAATGAAGTTTCCTGATATGTTCACGTATTTATCAAATACATATGTTCCTCACAACTCCATGCTAGGTCACTATTATCTCTTTTCTGGTTTTCTATTACAGCCACCTAAATGGTCCCTTTCTATCGACAATAATTGTGGAAGAGTTTTTATTTGACTCGGGATCCAAATAAAACCTGCCATTTGCAAGTGCTTTATATGTCTCTTGGCTATCTTTTAGCCTATAAGATTGTTCTGCACCTCTCTTTCTTCTAAGCATTTTTCTTCTGGGATAAACAAAAGTTCATAACAGATTATTTTTCCTATACAGAATTTCACAATGTGGATTCTGAGCTATTTGTATCCTGTTTTGTCATCTAACACGTTCCTCTAAATTAATAGCTATTGTTGTTTAGTGCCATCAAGTCAGTTCTGATTCACAGTGAACCTGTATAGGGTTTCCATCCAAGGAGCAGATGGTGGGTTTGAACTGCTGACCTTGTGGTTTAAACCAACCTTGCAGTCCAGTGCATTAGTCCTGCAGCACCACACACACAGAAGTACATGATATCTGGGTTCTCTCCAGTTAAAATGATGTCAGCCACTAATGGTCATCGCCTATGTCTACTACTAGTTCATTAAAGGAGCTCTGCTGGCATAGTGGTTACAAGTCAGCCTGCTAACCTCAAGGTCAGCAGTTCGAAACTACCAGCTGTTCCATGGAAGAAAGATGAGCGTTTCTCAGAAACCCATGTAGGGTCGTTATGAGTCAAAACAAACTCCCCGGCACACTACCACCACCACCACCTCCATTCTTGTCCCTCTCTGATAAAATTCTGCACATTACAGTGGACTGGCCTTTATAAAATGCTGATTGGATTAGATACTTTCAAAAGATTCTCATTATCTGTAGAAGAAAGTCTAGAATCTTTACAATAGCTTCCAAGACCCTGTATGTTGGCCTTAACCATTCATACTCAACTTACCTTAATTCCCAACACACTCCAGCCACACCAACATTCCTTCAGTTCCTTTACTGCCCTGCTCTTTACTACACACCTTTGCAAATACTCTTGTTAGATTACTAAAAGCACAGGCAAATGAACACCTTTATTTAGCTAACTGTCATTCATCCTTCAAGTGTGGACATAAATAGAGTTTCCTTAGTAAATCATCTTACCAAACACTTCCACAGCATATTTGACTGTTCTTTTGTAACCTCCTCCCCACATCACATTGAATGCTTATTCAATGACCTTCTTCCCTCACTCATTACAAATCATAGCAGGGATCACTATTTTCTTATTCATTGCTATACCTCAATGCCTATCACTATCTAAAATCAATTATGCATTTTATAACTAGTTGTTGACTTACACTGAAATGGAAAACCCTATTTCTGTGGAATTAATACCTCTTTTTTGAAGTTGTTATTTTTATAAATGTTTAAGATTTAAAAATACATTTTAGAAAGCAATAGCTGATATGTTCAACAAACATTCATTACAAGGACAAAAACCATTACATGCCAATTTAAAATAAATGACTATCTTAAAATAAATTATACTTTTACAATCATTATTTTCTATAATTTGCTATAAAAAGCTCCTCCCTGAAGAGAAACCAAGAAGCAGAAAATCATGTTTTCAAAAATAACTCCTACTTTTATGAAGAGGAAGAGGTTTAACAAGATCTGGCTGTGCTTGAGTCATAGGTACAGGTGGTCCTTTTCCTCCAATATGATTGTTCACAACAGGGCTCTGTTGTCGGCCTCTCAGCAGTGGAGACATGCATCGCCGTCTTTTAGGAATCCCTTGCATATTTGGTTCTCCAGGTCGTTTATGTTTATTTTGAGGTCCAGAAACAAATTCATCTGCTTCATCTATCATCATACCCTATAAGAACAACAAATATAGATATATAAAACTGTTCCTAATTTACATACAATTTTTAAATGGCAAAACAAATTCTAATTCCAATCAAAATAGCTACAGTTGTTTTAATTGGAGTATTAGATACTCAAGAGAGGAAAATAGCTTCAGCTTACTTTAGTTAAATTAAGAACTGTTTAATCATATTAAATCCACAATGCCTAGCACAATGTTTGGCACATAGCAAGTACTCCATGCATATTTGTTAAATGAGTAAATGAAGGAATGAGCCATAAAATAAAAGATTAATTGCTAAGCTTATAATATGAATACATATCAAATTTTCTTAAATCATGTTTAAGATTACCTAACAGAAAATTTAAACTTGGAATACATTAACATTATAATGTTTGCAAACATTAAAAAATGCAATTATTAATGCAAAATTTCTTTGCGAGTTAAGTCATACAGACCAACTTAATCTCTACAAGAGTCAACATGCAAGAATGTCAAGAAACAACTAGAAAATTGAGAGAATAAAGACAAAGTTTTAAGTTATGATGGTCTAAATAAAAGATAAATGAGGTTACTGTAAATTTCATGCTAAGTTAAGTACTTTTTTACAAAAGAAAAGTATAAAAACATACTGGCCATCATATAAAAAAAAGGAACTGAAGCTGTAAATATAAGTAAAAAAGTATTGCTACTAGGATTCCAGTTCAAACACAAACACTCCAAAACAACATGTCTCTGAGATCAGTGGATGGGTGCAGACAAGTTGTCTCAGTAATACACATTTCTTAGTCTTGATAAGGTGCCTTCAGAAAAATAATATTGAATCCAAGTAGTGGCTTCCAAGGAAATCTGCTGGGCCAGTTAAACTCAAGGCACAGAGGTTAGTTCAAAACGTTATGGTGACTATGTTTTGGGATCACAAGGGAAATTTGTGACACATTTTCTCTAAGGACACAGGACGATCACACAAGCTTTTCTAGGAAGAAACTTTAAGAAAATGGATAACTACATTGGTGAAAAATAAAGCCAGGAAAGCTGTGCCAAGGAATTGTTTTCCATCATGACAATGCACTTGCTCATTCTTCAAGAGTAGCAAGGGCTGTCCTATGGGAATTTCATTGGGAAACCTTATCCCATTCAGCCTTTTCAGAGTTCTTGTTGTTTCCAAACTCAAAGAACATGTAAATGAACATAATTTGAGTCCCCTGAGGATGCCAACATTGCTGTTTTGATGTGATCTAGGTCAAACAGCACAGATTTTTTCAGGGAAATGGAAACACCATCTAGAAATGCATAGACCTAGATGAGGATCTGTTGAGAAACAACAGCTTCATATTTTGATAGTTTTGTATAATAAAGGTTTCTTTGATTTTGTAGCAATATTTTTTTTTACTTACTATACTATAGAGAGAAATACAGGCTCTTTTCTTCATGTATTACTAGTTACATGATTGATGAGATGACAGTTTTACTACTCTGACAGAGACAGGTGGAACCCTGAGATTATGGCCTTGCATGTACCTCAGCTTTTAGTCAAACAATAGGCCTAAAAGGTGAATAATCATACCAGCAAGGTACTCACTCCTCAGAAAAATCAAGCTATTGACATCAAAAAGGTGACATATATTTCCAGGCAGAAGTCCTGGTGTGGGGCTGTAGGAAAAGTAATGAACTGCTAGCCACAAGGTTGGTGGTTCAAACGCACCAGCCACTCCTCGGAAACCCTATCCCGGGTCACTAAGAGTCAGAACAGACTCAATGGCACTTCACAACAACAAAGCTCAAACAACAAGAAGGGATGTGAAAGAAGGCTGAAGGGAAATGGTAAACGTAGAGAGGAAGTGGGAATAGTGATAGTACATTGGGAGAATTACAATCAATATCCCCAAACAAAATGTGTATGAACTGTTAAATGAAGAGTTACTTTGCTCTGTAAACATTTACCCAAATTACAATTAAAAACAAAACATAGTATTTTGAATTCTATTAAGTCCAGCATGCCTAGCACAAAAGAATCATGTAATGGAATACTTTATAAAATTACCTTTTTATCCAGCTTAAAGGGATTGCCAAATGTATGCAACCTTCGAGGCTGATCAGGATCAAGTTCTCTTAGTGGAGAAGGTACTTGCTTGAGGTATTCTTGGTAATTCCCCATTTGTGCTATGGGAACACTATGCACTTGATCTTTGCAAACAGAATACAACAACAAAAGTTAGCCTCATTAAAACTATACCCATATCTGGTTATCGACTAATATCTTCTCATGTACAAATACTACCTGGTATGCTACTCTAGGAAGCATTCCCTTATTACATATTCTAAATGAGTTGGCTGCAATTATAAATATGTGACATAAAAACTTATAATTGTTTAAATCAAATTAGGAACATTGATTTCATTTTCCACATAAAACAAAATTACTGTAGTTAATTTTCATGGCTTACCATGAAAATGCAAGTCTTTTTACTTTGTCCCAAGTAAATAATTATTACAGCAGAATTTACAAAAAGCTCACCCTTTTAACAGAAAGATTTAATAGGAATGCTTAAATGGGAGATGCAGAGTTACATTCTAAAACTGGCTTGATGTGCAGTAGGTCCCATGGATGTATGTGAAGAAACTGTAGACCGTGTCATCATGCCCTGGCCTCCCAAAGTTAAACCCACCAGACACTAGTGCAGCACAGGAAAATGACTGCTTGTGTGTCTGAGTATGAAATACATAAGGAAAGCAAAACAGGAAACCAAAGTTTTCCTCTGGGAATAGAATGTAGGGCAACAGTGATGGCAGAGAGAAAGGCAGAGAAACATAAAATGACTCACTTTTCACTTCATCTATCTAGATTTACAAACAGACTGTTATACTATTATAGTAATTCTTTAAAATTTAATTACCATATCCATTTTTTCATACTATAAAGAGAAGAATTATAAAATGCAAAAGAAATGCTAATATTAACATCATTATCCAACCTTCATCTTGTCCTTTAAGAAATTTCCGGGTGGTCTTCAAAAGATTGGATCTCATTCTTGTTAAGTGATCCAAAAGATTCCGTCTTGGTATGTCATAAGCATTTCTAAATGTCTGTGGTTTCAAATCCTATTATTGAAGCATTTAAAAAAAAAAAAAATTTCAAATATAGAATTCTAAAATCTCTAACCTGAATATAGTTTTAGAAACAATACATACAAAGTTATATAGTTAAGAGAAATATAATTATCTTATAAAATCAATTTCTATATTTTAAAGACTTAAGGTTTTAAAGAAAAACCTCTGAAGTAAATTTACATACATAAAATCATTTTAAGTATATAGTTTGAAAAGTGTTAACAATTTAGAGCTATGAAACAATGACCACAATCCAAGTTTAAAACTTTCCATAACCCTAGAAATCTAGTTCCTTGTACCCATTTATAGTGAATTCCCACTCCCATCCATAGGCAACTACTCACCTCTCTCTCTATATTCCATTCATAAATAGAATTTTACACTATACAAAGGTGCTTCAAAAAGCTCTTAGAAAAATGGACTCAAAATGTGATAGAATTTTTCCAAACTTTTTGGAAGGCCCCTTATTCCATCTTTTACATCTGTATTCTTCACTTAGCATGATGTGTTTGATATTCATCCTATTTTTATTGCAGAATGGTATTCCATTAGAAGGATGTATCCGATCTTCTTTATCCAATCACCTGAACTGTTTCTACTTTAGGGCTATTAATGAACAGCTATGAACAATTGTTGCTGTTAAGTGCTGGTGAGTCATTTCCGACGCATAGTGACCCTGTATCGGGTTTCTGAGGTGCAGCTGGTGGGTTTGAACTGCCAACCTTGTGGTTTGCAGTCTAGTGTTGATCCTACAGGGCCACACCAGCAGTCCGACTATGAACATTAGTGGGCTTATATTTTCATTTCTCTTGGATAAATGCCTACAAGCAGAATTGTTGGTTGGGTTGTATTTAAGAAACTGCCAACTATTTTTCCAGTCTTTTCAAGTATACCTATTCTAGCAGATGTGACCTTGTGTGGTGCCATAGGGTTAAGCACTGGACCACAAAGTCAGTTTTAACCACAAGGTTAGCAGTTCAAACTCACCAGCCTCTTCTCAGAAACTTTATACAGTGTCATTATGAGTCAGAAATGACTCAATGGCACTTAACAACAATTTCAAATGTGAAGTGGTATTTCATTATGATTTTAATTTGTATTTACCTGATGGCTAATGATGTTGAGCATTGCCTATGTGTGGTTTGTGCTGTAGGATCAGCATTGGCCTGGTAAACACAAGGTTGGCAGTTCAAACTTGCCAGCCACGCTAGGAAACCCTATACAGAGTCCCTTTGATTCAGAACTGACTTGACACACAAACAAAAGCATGTGTCATCTGCATATCTCCTTTAGTGAAATATCTGTTCAAACATTCCAGCCATTGTTTTAAAATCAGGTTGTCTTCTTAAGTTGTGTAAGTGCTTTAAATCTTTGATAGGCAGTTCTTTAATTCGCTATGTGCTTTTCTCTTGCCCTGTAACTTGCCTGTTCATTGCTTTAAGAGCAAAATTTCTTCATAAAGTTTAATTTACTTACTTTTCTGTGTTTATATTCTGTGTTGTATTTTACAAATGAATATTTGGTATGTTCCAGTCACTAAGATTTTATGTTTTCTTCTAGACGTTTCATAGCCTTAGTTCTTACATTTTATGCCAAGATCACTTCATGTAATATGAAGTAAAAGGAGCAAGGTTCATTATTTTGCACATGGATAGCAATTGTTGTAGTTTGATTTGTTGATGTTGACAAGGCGGTTTTTTCATTCACTGAATTATTTTGGCACCTTTGTTTAAAACTGACCATATGTGTGAGGGACTGAGTGTTTCTGTTCTACTAATCTCTATGTTTGGACATCTGGTGTGTCACTGTAGGATAAGTGCAGGACTGCAAGATTGATTTGAACCCCAAGATCAGAGGTTCAAACTCACCAGTCGTTCCTCGGAAACCATATACTGAGTTGCTATGAGTCAGTACTGACTCAATGGCACCTAACAACAACAATCTATACATTTGAAGTCCTGCTATAGCACTGTGGGCTAATGCATCAGACTGCAAAGTAGTCTGAACTGCAAGGTCAGCGGTTCAAGCTCACCAGCTGCTCCTTGGAAACGCTATACATAGTCGCTATGGGTCGGAATCAACTTGACAGCACATAACAACAACAAATCTATACATTTATCCTTCTATCAGCACCACATTGTGTTTAATCACAGTACTTTTATAGTTTTGCAATCAGAGAGTATAAGCTCTCTACTTTATTCTCATTTCCAAAATTGTTTTAGCTATTCTGGGGCATTTTCATTTACGTGTAAATTTTAAAATCACCTTGTCCATTTCTTCAAAAAGTGTGCTGGGATGAAAATCTTCCTAATAATGAGCATTCATAAGGTATCTTAGGATAAGAACATGCTGCCCCCACAGTCATTAATATTAAGTACCATGCTACAGTTAAACCATAGTGGCTGAACCCTATTATCAGTTGTGTAACTTTAAGCAAATCTCTGGTGGTGGTGGTGATGATGTGCTGTAGAGTTGGTTCCGGCTCACAGCAACCCTGCACAGGGTTTCTGAGGCTGCAAATCTTTACAGGAGCAGAAAGCCTCATCTTTATTCCACGGAACGACTAGTAGTTTCGAACTGCTGACCTTGAGGTAGCAGCCTGACTCATAACCACTATGCTACCACAGCAAATCTCTGTATTTTCATCTAAAAAACGAATGGGTTAGTCTTCATCATCCATCCCTCCATCCGCTCACCATATACAGTATTTGTTTAAATTCTAAAATTTAGTGATTCAATAACAATACAATGATCAACTATGCTGCAGAGGTATGTAACTACTTAAAATTCTCACAAATGAAATATCAGTTAACAGAAAGAATGATTTATTCAACAGCACACTGAATTCATATGATTATTACCTTATTCAGCAAAGCAACCTGGAACCCGGTATACTCCTTCATATTAAGGTCCAGCAGTCTATGAGGAACATCCTCTGAAATTCCCTGGAGCAGTTGTTGAAAGTCTTTCCTATAGGCCATTGATAAACCATGGGACCGACTTCTTACTTTAATTCCAGTTTCCTGTACTACTTTTTTGCCTACGGATCCAATAACTCGATCAGATTCTATTTTGGCCTGAATTAAAAATAAACAAGGGTTGTCTTGAAATAATTTAAAATGTTAAATCAGATAATAATAATCACTTCGGATTTTTGATACTTTAATACAATTATGTTAAAAGGATATAAAACATTAAAAACTCAAGTAACATAGTTTGTGCCAAGTACTTTGTCCCAAGTAAACAGTTATTTAATTACAGCAGAAATTACAGAGGAAAGAAGTCACACAACAGATAACCCTTTTTATATAAAGCTATAATAGGAATGCTTAAATGAGAGATGGCAGGGTTACATTCTTAAACTGGTTTGAGAGTGCAGTAGGTCACACGGATGTATGTGAAGAAACTGTAGACCGTGTCATCATGCCCTGGCCTCCCAGAATTAAACCCACCAGAAACTAGTGCAGCACAGGAAAATGACTGTTGTGTGTCTGAGTATGTAAACACATGAGTATGTAAAAACACTTTTAAACAGTAATATCTTATGATTTTAGTTTATTATAACTCTAAACTTTGGGACACAGCAAACAAACACAATTTCATCAATTGTTATTTACTTATTAAAACTACACTTAAATCAAGGAGCCAAGTGATGCAATGACTAAGCGCTCAGTTGCAACCCAAAAGTCACTGGGGAGCCACCCAGTGGCTCCCCAGGCTGACAAGTGACTTCACTCAAGACTAACCCATTGACAATGAGTCGAGAGTAGAACTGTTCCAGAGGTTTCTGAGGTTTCTGGAAGTAGAATGTCTAACTTTCTCCCATGGAGTGGCTAGTAGGTATAAACCGCTAAACTTTTTGTTAGCATTCCAAGGCTTAACCCACTGCACTACCAGGGATCATCCTCTGTAAAGATTACAGCTTAGAAGCCCTTTGGGGCAGGGTCTAGTCTGTCACATTGGGTTGCTATGAGTCAGAATTCATTTGATGGTAGTTAGCAAAAACACTTAAACCAGGAAATATAAATATGTTCTAAATGAAAATGTATATCCCCAATTCAGAGGCAAAAAATTTGGAAAAAATAATCATATTGTTATTTACTTAAAGATACTGCTACTAGTACATAACTAAACTGTCATCGGTAGTTGGTTATATGCTATACAGTCAGTTCCGACCATAGCTGCTCTGCATAGGGTTTCTGAGGCTGTAAATCTTTATGGGAACAGAAAACCTCACTTTATTCCCGCAGAACAGCTGGCAGTTTCGAACTGCTGAGCTTGAGGTTAGCAACCCAACTCATAACCACTACGCTATGTGGCGCTGTGGGTTAATGCAATGGACTGCAAAGTTGGCTTGAACTGTAAGGTCAGCAGTTCAAGCTCACCAGAAACTCCTCAGAAACCCCACACAGGGTCACTATGGGTCAGAACCGACTCAATGGCACTTAACAACACAAACAACAAACTGACACAGGCTTGGCAAAAAGTGGTGGTATTTTCAGTTGAAAGCAAATAGCATATTTCTCTTCCTGTATTTTGATAAGTAGTTTTTGTTGTTTTCTTTTTGAAACATTAAATCTTAAATGTACAGTTTTTAGTTTGATAAGTAGTTAAGTTATAGAGGTGGAAAGCACTAGAAGAATAACGTACTTTGTAAGACATTAATAATCTGAATTCAGTTAAAGTGTACAAAAACTGCTTATAATGTACTATTTATATGATTCATAGCCAGAAAGGCAAAATCCAGTGTTTTTACAAAAGCTTTTCAAGAGAAATTCCCATTTTGAAAGATAATTCTTCAGATTTTAATACACAAAGCAAAAGAAACAACTATTTTTTTCTAAGAAAAATAAACCTCTAATATAAATTTCTCAAAACAAAACAATGTTCACATATAGAAACTCTAAGACCAAGTTAACAATACCATTTTAATAAATTAAGAATTATGAGCTTTAAAACTAAAGTAACATTTCAAAACATAGCACATCATGTACCTGAGACAGAATTATGTCTATGTATGATATATGTGCTTTAAAATATATTAATGTAATAGAACACCATCTGATCCATTAAAGAACTAGCATCTGGCTTGTTAATCGTCTTAGCAAAAACCATTCAAATGACTCAAAAGCTCACCCTATTTCTTGGTATTACCTGTTGACTCAGTTTCTTGAGGTATGAAATGACACTGTAACTAAGTCCATATTCCATACTGTCTGCTATTAGGTTAGGTGCTCCCATCATTCTAACAGCTTTCTTCAAGGGCTACAGGAACAAAGGAAACACCATTCAATATTAAGCTTGTTAAAAATTTATGGCTACTTGTTTTAAAAAGTCAGTTTTAAAAATTTCTCCAAAAAGATTTCCCCTTCTTTATCCTCAATAACAGAGCACGGTGGCTCCATATGATAAGCACTAGTCTGCAAACCACAAGGTCCACTGTTGGAGCCTGCCAACCTGTCCGCAGGAGAAAGATGAAGCTTGCAGCTCCCTTGAAGATTTAAAGCCCGAGAAACCCTGTGTAGATTCTTCATGAGTCAGAAATGCCTCAACAGCACTAAGCAACAGCAGCATTCTCTAAAGGCGTGTAATCATATTTGTATTTCACCAAAATGTTTGTCAGTGACAGAAAAAGCAGTTTGAAATAGAATTTAAAAGAATAAGAGGCTAAACTAATAGCACAAACAAAAAGAGTGAAGACCAATACTCTGTAAACACTAAATTTGGATGAAATGGACAGCTGATATATTGGAGAGGTGGATTTGACTGCTAGTAGGAGGGAGGAGGAAAAGACAAATCTAAGATTTCTACCTTGAGAAACTGGGTGGGTTGTGGCTCTACCACTCAGGTTACATAACCTCTGTTTCTAATCCATGTAACAGGCTAATAACAGTACCTTCATCTCATAACGTTATCATGGAACAAAATGAGCTAATAATACATACAAAGCACTTATAAAAGTATCTGTTCACTGGATGCATTCAGTAGGTGTTAATAATTACTATTATTACCATTAGCTGAAACATACAAACCCAGAAAAAACATCTGTGGCAAAAATACTGAGAAGAAAAAAATGAACAATTACAAGTGCATGTGTTAACAGCAACAGAGGTTGCATACTTCTAGGTGTGACGCTACAACACAATTTGACAAGTGACAGAGGGATGGGAAGATGAAGAGGTATAGGACTGAGAACGGAACTGTCCCCATGAATGGATGCATGTATGTGTGACAGAAGATTATTTCTACATGTGCATTTATTTACCTATTGTAAATGTATCCAGAAATATAGCAAAATATGGTGGGGAGGGGTGCAAGGGAGTATGCTGGTTCAGAAGGGTAAATAATGGACTTCAAACTACAAGGTCGGCAGTTTGAGCACACCAGTAGCTCTGTGGAAGAAAGATGAGACTTTCTGCTCCTACAAAGATTTATGGCCTCAGAAACCCTATACAGGGTTGCTGTTAGTCAGAAATGACTTGACAGCACTTAACAGCAACAACAGGGGGCAATGTTATAGAAACTTCTTAGACATAACCAAACCTTGGAATTAGTTGCTGGACCTGGGGACTAAGAACAATAGTACAACATGGTCAATTAGCACAACATAGTCCACAAAGACAATTCTGTACATCCTATATTGTTGAGTCCTGGTGTGGTGCTGCAGGATAATGCACTGGACCGCAAGGTTGTTTTCTGAACCTCAAGGTCGGTGGTTCAAGCTCACCAGCCACTCCTTGGAAAGCCTATACAGGGTCACTATGAGTCAGAAATGACTAGAGAGTACTTAACAACAACAACTGGGGTCTTAAAAATTCCTGAGCAGCCATCTAAGATGCAACTATTGATATCTCTCTTCCGGAGTAAAGAAGAATGAAGAAAATCAAAGACTCAGGGAAACAATTAGTCTAAGGGAAAATGGACCACTAACACTTCAGCTTCCACGAGGCTGAGACCAGAACTAAATGGTGCCTTGCTACCACTACTGATTTCTACAAGGGATCACATTAGAAAGAAAAACGGATGAAAAATATGCAACAAAACTTAAAATCACAAAAAAGACCAGGCTTACTAGTCAGATGTTGTTGTTGTTATTGTTGTTAAGTGCCACTGAGTCAGTTTGGACTCATAGCAACCATGTATAGTATAGATTTTCCAAGGAGTAGCTGATGGGTTTGAACTGGAGACCTTGTGGTTCACAGTCCAGTGCTGATCCTACAGTGCCACACCAGAAGTCCTCAAGGCCTTCAGTAACCCTTCAACCAAACAATAAAAAGGTCAATGTTGCTGTTGTCAGGTGTCATTGTTAGGTTCCTAACAATAGCACAACGGAACAAAATACTGCCCAGTCCTCACAAACTGTTACGCTTGAGTCCATTGCTGCTGCAACTATGCCAATTCATCTTGTTAGAGACCTTCCTCTTTTTTGCCAACCCTCCACTTTACCAAGCATGATGTCCTTCTCCAGGGGCTGGTCCCTCCTGACCAACTGTCCAAAGTATAAGAGGCAAAATCTTTCCATCCTGGCTTCTAAAGTGCATTCTGACTGTACTTCTTCCAACACAGATTTGTTTGTTCTTTTGGCAGTCCATGGTACTTTCAATATTCTTCTTCAACACCATAACTCAAATGCATCAATTTTTCTACAGTCTTCTGTATTCACTGTCCAACTTTCACACTCATGTGAGGTTACTGAAATACCATGGCTTGGACCAGGCACACCTTCCTCAAACTGACATCTTTGCTCTTGAATACATTAAAGATGAAGCAGATCTACCTACACAAGATTTCTTAATTTCTTGACTATTATTTCTATAAGTGTTGATTGTGAATCCAAGCAAAATGAAGTCTTTGACAACTTTAATCTTTTCTCCATTTATCATGATGTTATTTACTGGTCCCGTGGTGAGAATTTTTGTTTTCTTTTGGTTTCATTAGGGACTAGTTTGAAAAATTAGTTACAGTGAAATGCTATAATATGCCTAGATTAAAAGTAATGTGTTTAAAAGTGCTCTTAACAATGGTCTTTTTGTCGAGAAGTTATTTTTCCTAAATTGGTGGTGATGGTGGTAGTGGTTATGTGCTGTGGAGTCAGTTCCGACTCCTAGTGACCCTGTACATGGTTTCCTGATCTTTCTCTCACGGAACAGCTGGTAGTTTTGAACTTCTGACCTTAAGGTTAGCAGCCTGATTTGTAACTATTATGCTACCAGAGATAATAATGTGTGTATTATTTATAGTCTTATCTACCAACTTACAGAAAAAGGAAAAGCAAAAAAAGAAAGAAACCCAACCTTCCACCTCACAGTGACCATACAGAGCAGAGTAAAACCGCTCACAGGGTTCCGAGGGCTGTCAATCTTCATGAGAGCAGACTGCGCTCTCCTTCTCCCACAGAGCAGTGGACTGTTTCAAACAGCAAACTTTTTGGTTGGCAGCCCAGCATCTTAACCCACCAGGCCTCCTTACCAAGGTATAGTAGTTTTTGAGTAATCAGATTTTCTGTAAGTATATGGGTCTATAAGATTATGTATTTGTCTACATAAAAGGGGTTTCTAGCAATTTGGTAAATAATGCTACAAAAACCATTTTGTCCCCTTTAAAGAGAGTCCTGGTGTGGTACTGTGGGTTAATGCATTGGACTGTAAGGTCGGTTTGAACAGCAAGGTCGACGGTTCAAGCTCATCAGCCACTCCTCAGAAACCCTATACAGGGTTGCTATGAGTTGCAATCGACTCCACAGAACTTAACAGTAAAGATAAACAATTATAAAATCATGATTTTATAAAAAGTAGTATAACATTCAAGGATAAGAGACTAAACACTATAGCCAAATTGCCTTGGACTGAATTTCAGAACCCCGTATATGTGAGGGAACTTCTAAAAGTTAACAGAAAATTGGAACTTAAAGATAATGGAAATGGTTTTTTTGTTTTATTTTGTTTTTTTAAGTCCCCTCATATTAGCTTTAGACCAATTTCTTTACATTTTAATGCCCTGGTGGCGCTGTGGGTTAGGTGTTAAAACCGACCAGCAGCTCTCCATGTCTGCACTCTGAGTTGGAATCAATTCAATGGCAGTGGGTCTGCCTAAGTTTCTTTGTCTGTGAAACATGAGCAAAAAGTTTCTAACCTCATAAAGTTACTATATGAATTTTTTAAAAGTTAACACACGTAAAGTTCTTGGGTCAGTAGTTGGCCTATGTTATTATTAAGTGCTTCAAGTTGGTTCTGATGCATGGTGACTCTGTATAGTTTCCAAGGAGTGGCTGGTGGATTTCAACCACTGACTTTGCAGTTAGCAGATCAGTGCTTATCCTACAGCACCACACGAAGACTCCTGGCATATGGTAAGCATTATATAAATGTTTACTATCAGTATCACCACCACCATCATTACTGTTATTCTATAAATCACTGAAACATAACTTTATCTTTATATCTGCACTGATATAATGATCATCTATAAGCAGTGGTTACCAATCAAGCTGCTAACCTCGAGGTCAGCTGTTTGAAACTACCAGCCATCCACGGGAGAAAGATGAGGCTTTCTGCTCCAGTAAAGATTTACAGCCTTGGAAACCCTGTACAGGGTCATTATGAGTCGGAACTGACTCCATGGTACTTAACAACAACATATACACAAATGGAGTCCTGGTGTGGTACTGTGGGTTAATGCGCCAGACTGCAAAGCCATTTGAACTGTAAAGTCAGCAGTTCAAGCTCACAAGCTGCTCCTCAGAAACCCTACACAGGGTCATTGTGGGTCAGAACCGATTTGATAGCACTTAACAACAATAACAACATAGTAGCTCTATAGTACTGCGAACCATAAGGTCAGTATTGGTTCAAGCCCACCAGCTCCATGGGAGAAAGACAAGGCTTTCTGTTCCCAGGAAGATTTAAAGCTTCAGAAACCCTGAGTCAGAACCAAATCCATGGCATATAACAACAACAGAGTAAATTATAAACATAAAATAAAATTTTATATAACAGTTCTATTTTATCTCTAATAATATTCTTACCCCAAGATAGTAGGGAGGCATTGTCTTCAAGTAACTTTCAAATGACTGTCTCCATTTCAATGTTGGTTTTGCTTTATGTACTTTAAACAAATCATCTAAGAATATACAAAAGTACCATCACTCACCGTTTTATACATAAAAATCAAGTCAAAAAAGTTTTATTTTTAAAGTCTGTGCTTTATTATTTGTTATAAGCTTTAACAAAATTAAAAGCAGAAAAAATTCTGGTACTGAGGTTTTCTCTTAGTAATATGATTTTTAAAAACAAAATTTAGACCAATTATGGTCTAAAATTATATGTAATAATAAAACAAAAAGAAAATACACAAGAAAAAAAATCATATCCTGTCTACAGCTGAATACAAAACAGATTAGAAAACAGAATAAAGCAAGTACATTTTCTATAAAATGTACATACTGATTTTTTAATACAACTTTAAAATCTGATGTGATTCCATGGAGGAAAGGAAAGACATCTTCTCCAACAGTAGTCCTCAAAAAATTATAGCCAGATAATACTTAGAGACTAATATTAAACTTTTATATGATTTTGAGACAGATTGTTTTTTTAAAATCCAAGTGAAATTTGAAGTATAAATCCTTTGAAAGAAAATACCTTCAAATGTTGCTATTTTACAAAATATATGTTTAACAAAACAGTCTGCATTACCAATTCTAACTACTTAAACTGGAGAAAAATTAAAATATTTCATTTAAAGCTTAAAAATACATTATCATGATTAATTTGTAAAATAAAAAGTGTTTGGACACCAACTTTCAGTTTGCCACAAATATAAACAAGCAGTTTTAAGATTTCTTTAGAAAATCTTAACAGTGTCAAGAATTAAAAAGCATTTTCATTAATACCAGAAGATATATACATTAAATAAAGCTGTTCCCAAAGTTTGTTTTTAGAAAACTGTTTTTGATGCTGAAGCACAGAAAACGTGACAGGAATGACTTACCTAAAAGGGGAAGAAGGACTGGATAATTGTAAGGCATCACAAATAAGTTGACACAGTTCAGTGCTGTGCTGGCTTTCAAGTAACCAAAAGGATGACCAAGTTCACTATACTTTGCACTATTGCTCACATATACCTATTTAAAAAGGAGTTGTTAAAACTTTGGATTTAATAACCTTTACAGTATGTTAATATAAACCACTGGTTCAATTTAACGTTTTAAGCAATATCTAACTTAAATTCTTAAACCACTGTAATTTGTTCAGCTTACCTGCCAACATGTTTGAGGAGATTTCCTTTCCAGGATAAACTGAGTCAGTGGTGAAGGTTCCAACTCATATTTGTCAAAAGGCAATTTGTCGATAACCATTGGTTCACAATCTGTACAGGAAAACTTCACTACAGGATGAGATGTACGAGGTGGCTAGAGGAAGAGTCTTATTATTACTATCTACACAAAAACCAGGAACAAATTCATTGAAAGTATCCCTCACTATCAAACTATACTCAGTACTGTTAGTCACTCCCCAAAGCACCATTTGATGAAAGAACATACTTTCTAATGCTTAAATTATTTAATATTTATAATAAGAATTTTTAAATATATAAAAAATTAAAATCTTGTCTTAAGATAAAAATTACCAAATAAGTAAAAAGGAAAATTTTAGAATAAGTACTCTTCAATATGTATATTTGAGAAATAATAAATAGAAACTTCTATAAGTCCTCATTCAATGCAATTTTAATTACTTGTATACATTGTTCTTGAGTACTCAGTCAGTCCCAGCTCATAGCAACATTGTATAGGGTTTCTGAGGAGTGGCTGGTGGGTTTAAACTGTTGACTTTGTAGCTAGCAGTCCAGTGCTTATGCTACAGCACCACATTAGGACTTCCTATACTTCAGAATCTTCCAAATTGATCATACACCTTGATCAGTATAAAGTGATATAATATGTAACAGATCAGGACATAAACCCCAAAACTAATATCATCAGGCCGATTTCAACTCAAAGGGGACTGTAAAGGACAGAGTAGAACCTCCTTGGAGGGTTTCCAAGACTGTAAATCTTTACTGAGGTAGACTGCCTTCATCTTTCTCTTGAGTAACTGCTAAGTTTGAACATTTTGGTTAGCAGCTTCATGCTTAACATTTTGCCACCAGGGCTCAATTTAGCACATATATACAAAGATTTGGGGAGCACAGTCGCTTGGTAGGATAAGTACTGGACTGCAAACTACAAGGTCAGTGGTTCAAGTCCACCAGATTCTCCTTGGAAGAACAATGAGGCTTTCTGTTCCTGTAAAGATTTACAACCTCAGAAACGCTATACAGAGTGGCTATGAGTTGGTACTGACTTGACAGCACTTAAGATCAACAAACACTGATTATTAATGTAGTGTATAAAACATATACAAAAATATTAAAATAGGATAAAAAGATAAGCCAGAAGTTCTAATGCTTTCTTCCCTATGCTAGTGGATTGTGTTTTGTGGTTACTCCTGTAATATGTGCATTCTACCCTGTAGGCCCTTGTTCTAGAGGTATAAAAAAGCATAAAATATTCTTTTATTTACTTCTTAGTGGTTTCCTTCTTAAGATATCTGAGCAATTGTGAAGCAAATATGAGCTAAGAAGAAATCATTTAAACTTTCACTATAAAAGGCCCAGTTACAATCTACAGGCGAGTGACTCCCAAGCCTACTATGTTGGGACCAGATTTCTCATTTCTTTCATGTATCCAATTGCCTACTGAAGACATAAGCTGAATCTTCTAAGCGAACCCTTAAACATTATGTGCAATTCATTATTTCTCTTCCAAACTGCAAAATCTGATCTGTTCTAGAAAACTGGATGTTATCCTAGCTACTCCTCCCCACCATACATCTTTCTACATCTTTCATAGTAAGGTATCTCAAAGACCTAGATAAAATGATACCACAAATTCTAAGACACTTAACAGAACACATAACACATAACACATGAGAGGTGCTCAATAGTAGTTTCCTTCTCTCAATACTAAATTCTCACCTTTCTGAAAATGTGTGTGTCTGAGAAATCTATTTACCATTTTAAAAATCAAGCATCCATTATTTCTTAACAAGCTAAACTAGTAAAACCACTTTTTAATTAGTTTTCCTATTAATTAGTTCTCATCCAATCTGAACTACGGTCATACCACTCCCACATTATTTTTATGGAATATAAACATAATCACATACTTTCTCTACCTGAAAATTATTTAGTACAAGTAGTTTCCAATTGCTTAAAACTCCAGTTGAGATTCACTTAATATTATATGCAAAGATCCTTGAAGATCTTGTCCCTATCTGTCTTTTAGTTTACCATATCATATGGACCCTGTACTCCAATCATGTAAATCTTCAGTTACCCAAATAGGTCATCAATCTTTGATGCCCCCATGTTGCATCTTATCCTTGGATTGCTCTATTATTTCCTTTCTTGCACATTTTGCAAACAAAGGATGAATTGGCAAGCATCAACCGTTAAGAGACCTCTTTCTTTCCCTGACACTCTTTCTCACATTGTTATCTCAAACACATTAACAGGAAGCTGGGTACCATCTCCCCTGGGCTGCACCATCTTATTAGAGTTAACATGTTGTTGTTAAGCGTCATTGAGTTGGATCTAACTCACAGCGACCAAGTACAGGGTCTCTGAGGAACTGCTGATGGGTTTGAACCAACAGTCATGCAGTTAGTAGTCCAGTGCTTATCCTATAGTGCCACACCCCAATGTTTTAACATGTCTGACCAGCCATAAAATGGTGAGCTTCAAGAGGGTTAAGCATGGTAGACTTGAACCACTGATCCTGTGGTTTGTAGTTCAGAGCTTATTATACAGAGCCACCATGCTACCCCATTTTGGTGTTCTACTTCATTAAATCTCTAGTGAATACGGGAAACATAACTTTACAGACTTTGTATAGACTAAAGGAAAAATTACCCTGAATAGCTAAGGATAAAAGGTTTCAAAAATGATTGTTCCATGAAACATCACTAAAGACTGCTTAATGATCTTTGAAATACAATTCTTATCTTCTAAGGGCAATTATCAAAGAGAATCATTGTCATGCTTTCACACAAAATATCCCTGATGTCCTCAGATACAAGAAAAAATACTCATCGGAAAAATTTTATGATACCAAGATTGAAAAGATACTGACTTATATAATTTGTGTAAGCATGCATATCAACATGAGTCTCTAGGACTAAAATACTGCAGGCAAACTATCAGAATTACTTTCAAGTTTTCATTTAAATTCTAAATTGTGCCTTCATGTCACATTATGTTGAGAGTCCAAAGACAAAATCTTGCTACATTTGTGATTCTATATGCAAATGTAACTAATAAAAACGTGAGGATGATAAAAGAAACAGAGGCCTCTTTTCTATTATTTTATAAACAAGTAATAGCTTATCACAGCACTTGGATCATCTGTTTAATCCAATCTAAATGATATATACCTTTAGCTGACAATAGTACTCAAAACTAATCCAAAACGCAACTAAATGATTACTACTACAGCCATAGTATCTGATACTTACTAGTGTTGGGGAATTCTGATCTGGCCAAAATGATTCCGGAACAGGCCAATGACCTATAGGAACCCCAGTTTTAGGATTTGGTCTGACATATATGAGCTTGTGACAACTATGCCAAGGCTGAGATCCAAAAGGTCTTGACACATCTGGCTGCCCATCTACAGCAAATAAATCAAGACCAAAAAACAAACAAGCAATTTACAATTTGGGAGAAAAAAAAAAAAGTTAAATTATAACTATTATTACCCAAATTAATAAAAATACCATAACACTTGTTCATTTAAGGATTTTCCTATTTTTTCCAATGATAAAATACTATCATTACTGATTAACATTTAAATTAGATTAAAATTCACAAGGCAATAAATTCTACAAATTCCAACTATCAGTTCACCAGTTGAATCATCTTTTGCACATCCAATGGGAACATGTTCTTTGCAATAAATGTTTGTTTAATAAGTGTTAAGGACAAGCATCCAATTTTTGCCTTCTTCCTTGTCATGTGATCAGTACCAAAACACAGCATCAATCACACAATAAATGCTAGTACTGCTAAAAGAATATTTCTTAAAAATAATTTTAACTAAACCCTAGTAGTTCCTCAAAAATAAAAACTGTATATGCCAACCTAGATTAAAATAATTCTTTCATACAAATAATTCTAGCTAAAATTCAGGAAACACTGACTTATAGTGCCTAACTGCAAGTCAAGCACTAAAATAAAATCTATACATTCCATGTCTAACAAATTTGGTTTATTAAAACCAAAATTAATAAGGCAATTTATATAGTCTTATCATTTCTGCTCCTTCTTCATAATCCCATTCTTTCTTATTACCCTTCTATAGTATGTATTCTAGTGGCATACTTCTCCCAAGTATCATTAATAACTTTCTAATTCTCAAAATAATTACGTTCATGGCAGAGTCCTAGAAGTTCCAGTTCTAATCTAACTCTTCATATGTTGATTACAACTCACAGAAACTTCATGAAGGCAAAGAAGAACTGCAACAAAAGGTTTTCTAGGGGGAAATGTGACCTTTTGGAAGTAGAGTACCAGGCCTGTTAGCTGAGGCACTTCTGGATGGGCTCAGACCACCAACATTTTGGGAAATCCAAAGACAGGGACAGCTACAATTATTTATACCCTCTGTATAATATAAATAAACTGTGATCACAGAAACTGAGACTAAAGCTTGACAGGACTTCGCTGACATCAAGCTTAGTCGCAAAAAGCTAGTCTCCAATTTTTGGATCTGCAAAAGCTGTTTGGTTCTGATCAGTTAGATCCTTGGTGTTGATGAATGCCGTTGAGTCAGTTCCAACTCATAGCAACCCTGTATAGGGTTTCCAAGGAATGGCTGGTGAGTTTGAACCACTGACCTTAAGGTTCAAACTGACTTTACAGTCCAGTGCATTAACCCACAGCGCCACACCAGGACTCCTTATGAACATTATAGCCAGTGAATTAAATAAACACTGTGAATTAATGGACACAAAGGAGCATATATATTGGAGAGAGGCAATGGTACAGTACTAAAAAGAAAATATGAGGATGCTTATCTATAAAATAGGTTTTTAGCTTGTATTAAAATTGTAGGGGATGGATAATCATTAATATAAATAAAATGTATTGATGAACTAGTTGACTTTGACTTCCCTGTTTAAGCTTTCCATCATACCCTCATACCAATAGCAGGTTTTGTCACCCAAACTGGCCAAATCATAATTTTCAGTTCTACTTGAGCAATTGATAAAGTAAATTTAGAATGTGTACAAGTACAATAATAATACCTTCCACAGGAGAAGGGTCTGGTCCTGCTTTCTCAAAGTTTATTACCACCCCACTTTGCACCTTTTGCACCAAGGACTCCAGACACTGATTAAGCATTCTTGGAGAACATACAGAATATGAACGGCCTGAAATAAACAAAGAATAAAACTAGTTAGTTGAAGGAATGCCTTCCTTTAGAGCAAGAAAGAACCATGGTGAGGTTATAAAACTAATAAACATAAGTTTATGGTAAATTTGATTATCTTATGAAAAAAGAACAAAAATAGCTATTTCCATATCAAACAACCAACAATTCCACTTTATGAGAACATGTAATGTTAATTCTTTCTTCTAATTATAGGACATAAAAATCTTGGTATGTACAAATCACAAGAGGGGAAAAATCATATATTCTACAAAGGTATAACACTATTCCCAAATGTTATTCATGTATCTTATCTTTTATAGATATGCAAACACACTGAATCAAATAACTTTCCCTTAAAATCTTACTTCTACTTAGCAAAAGTACTGTCACCAAAATACATAAGGAATACTCAATAATAACGGAATGGCAATTATTGAATATTTTATTTTGAGGGGGCAGGTAGTAAGGGATGAGGACTAAGGGTTATAGTTAGGTCTAGGTTAGACATTGTTAGATGCAATCAAGTTGGTTCTGACTTACAGCGACCATATGCACAACAGAATGAAACAGTGCTGAGCCTAACACTTCATTTATTATTAGGGTTAGGACTAGGATTAGTGCTAAGGGCAAGGGTTGGGCAAGTCCTGGAAGCAAGGCTTAGCCTAGTTTCTAGGGATATTTTAATTTATTTTCTTAAAACCTGATTTCCTATTTGGAAGTTCTATAACTGCATTATTGTCTCTTTTTACTTCATGGTTTTGTTGTTATTGAAATTGTACCTCTGATTCTGCATTTTCAGTTTTACTTTGCATACTTCTACATCTGGTTAAAAGTCTAGGTGATTGTTGTCATACACAGTAATTTCAGGTTGTTGTCTGCTGTTTTTGGTTTTCTGTCCAAAGAACTCCCTTGAATATTTTTTGTAAGGTTGGTCTGGTTTTTATAAATTTTAAAAAATTTGTTTGTCTGAAAATAACCTAATTTCACCATCATATTTGATAGACAGTTTTGTTAGGTATATAGTTCTTGGTTGGTAATTTTTTTTTTTTTTTCCTTCGGAGTTTTATATATGTCATTCCATTTTCTTCTTCCTTGCAAGCTTTCTGCTGAGAAATCACAGTTTGGTCTTACTAGTTCTCCTTTGGAAGTAACTTTATTTTTCCTGAGCTGCTCTCAGTAGTCTTTTCCTGCCTTGCGTTTTGAAAAGTTTGACTCTTAGTGTTTTTTCTTTTGGGTTCTATATCCTGTTGAGAGTTGTCTCACTTTTTTGAATGGCTATCTTCTTGTCTTTTACTGTGCTAGGGAGGTTTTTGTCCAAAAACACCTGGATAATTTCTTTATGGGTTTTTTTGGTTGTTGTTTCTTACTGTCCTGGAATTCCTATCATATGTAAGTTATGCTTTTTGATAGTGTCCCAAATAAGTCTTAGGCTTTCTTTGGATTTTTTTAGTTTGTTTCTGTCTTTTTTTTTCTGATTCTTTCCTCTAGCAGATAAATGTTATTATTATTATAAGTGCTGTCCAGTCACTTCTAACTCATAATAATAAACCCTATATTGGGTTTCTGAGGATCAGTTGGTGGGTTTGAACTTTTGACCTTGTAGCTCAAAGTCCAGTGCTGATCCTACCAGCTGATGAATATTAAGAGATTTTTTCAATCTCAGCTAATTCTGCTTTCCACAGATTCAATTGTTTCTTTGCCTATTATCTATTTAGTTGCCTATTATCTATTTCTGAAATCTCTGTGTTACTTTCTAGTAACTTTCTAGTTGCTGTTTTTGTATGATTCTAATTTTTTCAATTATTTTGTTAGTTTTTTTCTGAATTTTTATATAGTTTTGTCTGTTATTCTTGATTTCATCTGAAGTTTTCCTTATCTTTCTCAGAAGCTATTGAAGTTGTCTAATTAGCTTTCTTTTAAATTCCTTATCTGATAGTTCCGATATAATTTCTACTATTGTATTTTCTGATTCTGTAGTATGGCCTCATGTTTGAGGTACTCTGTCTTGTTTATGTCAGTTAAAATTGCCTGTTTTCTCTGAGACACTGTTGTATCGATGCTTTTTTGCTCCTGCAAAGATTTATAACCTTGGAAACCGTACACAGGGTCAGTATAAGTCAGAACCGATTCAACCGCACTTAACAATAACATTTTTATTTAATTGATGAACTGGTATATTCTCATGTACTGACCACCTGTCTCCTAGAGGACATGGTGGAGACAAGAAGTGTGAACACAGTTCTCTGTTCACTGCTTGTTTATCATAATTCAGAGTGGGTTCACACAGCTCCAGAAGCAAGGGTGTTATGTCAGGTGCCCAAACCTACAGAACAGAGTCTGCACAGGAAAGGGTGCCTCTGTTCTGGCTGCTGGGTTGGCGATGCCTGGAACTAGCCAAGCCAGGGCACGGCTACCAGAAGGGCACAGGAATAAGAGAGAATTGCACCCCTCTGCCACCAACCTCTAGCTACGTGTGATGCCCACAGACCTCTTGTTTCAATTGTTGTTAAGTGCCGTCCAGTCAGGTCCAACGCATAGTGACCCTGTATAGGGTTACTGAGGAACGGCTGGGGAGTTTGAACCATCGACCTTGCAGTCCTGTGCTTATCCTACAGCACCACACCAGGACTGCCGTACTGTGACTCATCAGCCCACAGTCCAACCAGTTTTCTTCTCTCACTGTTCTTTTTCAGCTTCCTCTTCCAGCTGGCACTCAATCCACCTCTCTGTCCTATCCCCTGATGTTCAAGGTTCTAGGATCACTATCTGTATCTGTTTTACTGGGTCTCTCCGGACATCCACCACTTGTCTGTCAGTTTGTTGTACTATGGTGGCTTGCGTGATATTATGATGATAGAAGTCATGCCACTGGTATTTTAAATACATACCAGCAGGGTCACCCATGGTAGGGCAGGTTTCAGCAGAGATTCCAGACTAAGACAGACTACGAAAAAAGAGAGGCGACTACTTTTGACTGTTTAGCCACTGAAAACCTTATGAATAGCAGTGGAACACTGTCAGATATAGTGCTATAAGACGAAAACATTATGAATAGCACCAAGAGACTGTGAGATATAGGGCTGGAAGATGAGCCCTGCAGGAAGGCCCTTATGACTGGGGAAAAGCTGCCTCCGCAAAGTAGAGTTGACCATGCTGACGCACATGGTATAAAACTTTTGGGACCTTCATTTGCTAATGGGGCACAAACCAAAATGAGGAAAAACAGCTGCACACATCCACTAATAATAAGAACATGAAATGTAACGAAGTACGATTCTAGAAACATTGGAAGCTGTCAAAAATGAAATGGAGTAAGTAAAGACAGATATCCTAGCTATTACTGAGCTGAAATGGGCTGGTCATTTTGAATCACAAAATCATCTGGTTTTCTACACCATGAATGACAAATCTTAGAGGAATGGCATTCTATCATATAAAAAGAATATTTCAAAATCTATCTTGAAGTACAATGCAGTCTATGATAGTATAATATCCATACACATATAAGCAATACCAATCAATATCACTATTTTTCAAATATATGCATCAACCACTAAGAATTCTATCAACTTCTTCAGTCTGAAATTGATCAAATATGCAATTAAGATGCAGTGACAATCACTGGTGATTGGAATGCAAAAGCTGGAAACAAACAAGAAGGATCGGTAGCTGGAAATATGGCCTTGGTGACAGAAATGATAGTGATAATAAGACAGAATTTTATAAAACCAAATAAACACTGTAAATACCTTTTTTAACATAAAAGGTGATTATACACCTGGACTTTACCAGATGCAATACACAGGAACCAAACTGACTACATCTGTAGGAAAAGACAGTGGAAAAAGCCCAATATCATTGCCAAAACAAGGCCAAGGCAGACTATTGAACAGATTATCAACTGCTCATATGCAAGTTCAGGCTGAAGCTGAAGAAAATTAAAAGAAGTCCAAGAGAGTCAAAATATGACCTTTAATATATCCCACCTGAATTTAGAGACCATCTCAAGAATAGATTTGATGAATTAAGGACTAAGGTGCACCTGACTGGAGCCATGGTATATTCAATCGCTTCACAGGCATGTGAAAGTTGGACAGTGAATAAGGAAGACCATGGAATAATTAATACATTTGATTTATGATGTTGGACAAGAATATTGAAAATACCATGAACTGTCAGAAGAGCAAACAAATTTGTCATAGAAGAAGTGCAGCCCAAATGCTCCTTAGAAGCAAGAATGGCCAGACTTTGTTTCTCATACTTCGGACACATTATCAGAAGAGACAGATCAGATCCCTGGATGACATTATGCTTAGTAAAATGGAAGGTCAACAAAATTAGAGGAAGACTCCCAACAAAATGGATTGGCACAATGGCAGCAACAATAGACTCAATTGTGAGGATGGTGTAGGACTGCACAGTTGTTTGTTCTGTTGCACAAAGGGTCAGGTCACTATGAGTGGAACCAAGTAGATGGTACCTAACAACAACACATGTTTTTATTGTAGAGGGTCGGCTCAGTGAGTCTGCTTACTCCTCCATCTTGCCCTAGACTTATCAGATATTTTGAAATTTTGAAGAAATGACAGTATCATGCTTTTCTGCATTTCCACTGGCTTAACTTGGGAACTGTCTGTTTTAAATGAATTCCCTATTTACATATTTTAACCTAGAGTACTTTTTTTTTTTTTTGCTTTTAAGCTAAAACTCTCTAATACAGGGATTTTAAACAAAAATATCTTCATCTGTGCTGTCTAATACTGCTTCTACTCAATTATTATTACTGAGAACTTGAATGATGCCTAATTTCAACTGAGATATACAGTAAGTGTAAAATATATACCACAGATTTTAAAGACTTTATATTTTACACTATCAATTCCCTATCAAAATATTTGTACCTACTGGTTTAAATAAAATATTAATTTCACCTGTTTCTTTTTCTTTTTACTGTGGTTACTGGTGGTAGTAGTAGTTGTGTGCTATAGATTCGGTTCT